GGCTTGAGTTTGGGCTACAGGCCGGCGGTGCGGTTTTGAAAAAGTTCAAAGCAATGTTTTTTTTTTTTTTTTCCGGAGCTTTTTGAAGATTCAAGGTGGCGGGTACGTACCCCAAACTAAAACCCTAAACTCTACAAAACCCGAAAACCCTCAATGCAGAAGAAAAGAGCCCGACAAAAACACAGGAACTACCTAAGACATTAAACGCCAATTGCCCTAGCTATCCCTGACCCCAAGCAGAATGCCCTGAACCCGAAACCCTGACGCAACGTTGGGACGATCATTTTCAGAGCCATGGCAGTGGCATTCCTGCCCCAGAGCATGTGGCATGCATGCCCACGCCGAGGCTCCCTGAGGGCACATGTATCCGAACAGTTCCTCTAAGAGTTTTGATCGCTTTCTAGTGTTTGTACCACGGTTGACCAAAAGGTCCATGTCCGATGCAGTATATATATATATGTTGGCCTTACGGATGGTGGGATGTGATAGACAGACAGGCAGATGGATAGATAGATAGATAGATGGATTCGATGGGTAGTTGGATAGAGAGGTAGGTAGTTACAGCAGCTTAGGCGGACACATCAGATATATGCCGAACAGAAAAAATAGGTTAGATCGACAATTAGTTAGTTGGCTGTTTAGATAGATAGATCGATCGATCAGGTAAGGTTAGGTTAGATTGGGAGGTTTTCATGTCTGAAGCGACAGGGTGCTTCAGGGCACAAGCCTTGCGTCCTCTTGCAGATGAGGTTGTTAAGGGGCTTGGTTGCAAGAGGCTAGAGCCGTGAAGCATGTCCAGCACGTCAGGGCCCAGAATCCATCTGCGAGCTCGTGGAGGATCTTTGTCAAATCTGACCTTTGGCAGTTTGAGGCTGTTGCGTTGCTGTCTGTTGGTGTGAGGTAGGCAAATCCGCGATGCCGAAGGACCACACACGCAAGCACGAATGACCGTGTACACAGTTCTGGAAGGCGTATCAGCTTCTAATAGTATACGTAGTACCAAATATGCAACCTGCAAGCATGTAACCAGGCATGCTTGCAGTTCGTATCTTGCTGGGGCACTTGATACATGTAGGAAAGCATTCTCATGAATTCCGCCAGACGTGTGCACAAGCGGTACCTGGCCAACACAGCACACACACACACACTCACCTGGTTTGGCTTAAAACGCAAGGCGAATCTGCCCACTATGTGTTGCACACGTGACGTCTCGTCCGTAATCGGAAATACAATAAATAGAATCATGATGACGATGAGCCTTGCTGAGTGCCGTTCTTATGATGTACCGAATCGTTCTGTTGTTCAACACGTCTCGCGGCTGAGTCCACAAAAGTTTGCAGGAATGGCGCTGCCAGCCAAAAGCTGCGACTGCATGGCGCTGTCCTGAGTGCTGATGCAGTTTACGTTTTACGACTTCTGTAAGGGTAGGGATTCCTAATAGGACGATCGCAGCAGGAGTTCCTTCGTAGTGAGTGAGGCAGTGAGGATTGCACTTTGCTGTCGAGGGCTGGCACCCGGAGCCCTTCCAAGGGTGCCAGAGCCCTTAGATTTTTGGAGCGCCTGCCTGGGCTGGTTTCCCCTGACCCTCAAAGGACTCTTATTCAAGGCTTTTGGGCCCAAAGACCCTATTAGATAAGGCTTTTTGGGCGATTTTGATGCTAAGGGTTCAGGAGAGTGTGGAGATTGTGCAGGTCGGTCAGGCATTGTACAGAGTACTCGCAGTGGGTTTTGTTTGCGCCTGCTAGATGTTCTTTGTATATATGATCCCCATTATGGTGACTTGCCAGATGTTCTTTGTATATATGATCCCTATTCTGGTAACTTAACAAGAACCTAACTCTGTATGCACATCCTGGGCACCCAGTGCTTGGCTCTCCTGGGCCGGTGTTGGAAAGGGTGTGGGGTGGCTGACTCGAGCAGTCCCTCCTTTGACAAGCCTGTATACACATCAAACCCGATGCGCAATTGCAGCGGGTCTCTTCGTCTCCACATGCGGATACCTCTATCCAAGACCTCCGTGCAGAGATTGGACTGCCTGATCAGGTTGCACTGTTGTTGCTCCTCGGTGTACTCCCCTTCTGTTGCAGCCCTTGGGTTGAAACCGGAGGGTTCTATGGGCTCGACGTGCTAACAGCTCCCCTACATAGCTGTGTGTATGGGCATGACAGAGAAATGAATCAAATGAAGCACCGTGTATGTAAACGACATATATGTATACATCCCTCTCTCCTGCTCTCTTGCTTTGTCTCTCTGGCCGTGCTTTTCTTTTGTGCACTTTTCATTGAACAGATAATTAGGCCTTGAGGACCTCTTGAATTTCCCCTTATTCGGCCTAAGAGGATCTTATGTAGGAAGATGTTTCCACTGATTTAAGTGGCCAACCTACAATACGTGTGCAAACACTGGTAATTCTAACACTAATGTTCATGACAATGTTTCTAGAGGAACCCTACACCTCAAACCCTATACCCTAAACCCTAAGCTTTGTGCTGAGGCTTCGCAACGCCGGAAGCAGCAAGGCCTTGGAGGCACTCGAGGCGATGCGAAGTGCAGGCAGGAAATCGGTTCGAACAGGGTTTGAGGGCATGCTATAGCATCAATATAATCAGGACCCCCCCAGATAGGGGACACTCCCCCAGTTCATTTCTGTGCTGGACGACATGACTCAATGAGCCAGATCTCGTAGCATACGTAGCGAGTGCAGCAATTAATGAATGGCCGTTGTTTGTGCTTTCGTGTCTTAGGATTCGTCGCTACACGTCCGCCTGGCGTTGATGTCACTAATTTTCTGGTGTTGATATTACATGATGTACAAGCTGACGAAGCGAGGACATTTGCATGGACTGATTTGGGTTTGCATGAGGTGCTGTTGGGTTGCAATCTCCTCTGTTGTGTACACAGGGCGGGTCACGCTGGGACAAGCACCAGAAACAAAAACTCCCTCACTTTGAGGAGGAGTCGTTGGGCCTTGAAGCCCACATTCTCAGCCAACCAAATCGCACGAAATTCTCACATACAAACTATATAGTCTGAACTGTTGAACAGACGCTCCAAGCAGGTCTTCCTGCAGATGGCAACGTTAGTTAGAGCAAGACTTTGCAGGACTAGCAGCGTGTACGAATCTCAGTCTCCTCTAGCAACGGGACTCGACGCTTTCCCTTAAAATCCTAAACCCCTAAACCCTCAACCCCAAACCCCTAAACCCTAAGCCCCCTAAACAAAAGTGCGACATCATAGCTTATCCCTAGGCCTGTCGCTCAGAAAGCAGGCTCAGAGCACCAAAACCTGTGGAACCGATGGCCCCAGAAAAAAACCCACAGCCTTCCTGGGCGCCATGGTTTTTGTGGAGCCCAAGCCCTGTCTTAAAGGCTCTATATTACGTACATTGCTCTTGAGTTCGACTTTAGGTTTATAGCCCCCATGCTAATACACTCTAAGCCCGAACCTCTAAACCCTAAAGGTGCTTGGGTTTCTCGGGGCCTTCCATCATCCAGGACTGGTCAGCAACGTCTTTCACAGCAACGCGGCTTCCGGATCCTGTGCACAGAGCTGCCTTGCAGCAGCTCAGTGGTCGGGCTTAGGGTTTAGGGTTTAGGGTGGCAGTCATTGTAAAATAGGGCCCCTGTTAGGGTTTTGATCATCCTGACGCTGGTCAGTCTAGTCGGGTTCTCGTGCTAGTTTGCCGCCTCAGGCTGGATTTTGATATGTTCTCGTGTGTTGTGGGTGTCGGTGGTCTTGTGCTAGTTACTGAGGCTGGGGTCGCCTTCGGAGGCGATTCGGTTTAAGATGCTTCAGAACTTCACCAAGGATGGCAATCACTAGGTTGGAGTACGACCAAAATAAAAGATATTTGGCTACGAGCACTCCAAATAAAGTCGACGGGTAGCGATGTTTGTTTGACAACAGGTGCTTGCAAGCTTGTAAGCGTCCTGTAAAAGCATTTGTCGGTTGGCAGTCTTCGCACGTTCATGTTACCAGTGACGTTCGTCAAATCTCTTTTCAGGGTGCCAGGGCAGCGATGGATCTGTACCTGACATGCCAGGGACACTGCGCAAAACGTCTTGAAGTAGCATTCCTCTCTGAGGCTGGAAATGCCATCGCATCCCGAGGTTCTCAGTGGAGAATGGCTATCCAGCTTCTGCATGCGGCCGAATGGATTCAGCCCGGCACCCGGTGAGCAAGCGAGGGAACAAGTTTACCACTGTTACTACTACTACTACTACTACTGCTGCTGCTACTACTACTACTACTACTACTACTAGTACTACTACTAGTACTACTACTACTACTACTACTACTACTATAATACTACAACCAGCACCACCTCTACCACTACTACTACCGCTGCCGCTGCTACCACCACTACCACCACACCTCTACCACCACTGCCACTACGACTACCAGTACAGTTACTGCTAGACTGTTAGTACTGCTACTGCTGGTGTTGGCACGATTACTAGTTCCAATGGCAGTAGCAATAGCAGCAGCAGCAGCAGCAGTGGCGTCTCAGCAGTAGCATAAGCAACGGCAGCATGAAGAAGCTTTATCATGCCAGTGTCTTTGTCAGCCTCTTTCCAGGCCAGATATTATCAGCTACAACACTGCCACTGGCGCATGTGGCCCATCAGGCCAGTGATGCCAAATGTGGCAGGTGGAGGTAACCAGTTGCTACCGCGAATGACCGCCCTAGACAGAAGTCGATTTGATGCACATGGGCTTGGCCTTTCTTTTACGCCGGCCGGAACACATGACATGTTTCGCGGACTCCTTGAGTGCTGTTGTTGTCGGTGCGTTGATCAGTATGTACTCGGAGACTCGCAGAAACAAACGAATGGAGGTAGCGATCACTGATCCCCTCCACATTGCTTTCGCCGCCCGTATTCACGAACGACGAACACAACGCCCTGTAACCCACATGGAAACCTTGCGACTCGTCAAGAAATGCAAGCTTCTGGCTCAATTCGCCGACTGTACCCATTTCCGTGTATGTTGGAGCTGCAATGGCACTGCTTAGCTGCCTCATCGCTTTGCATGCCGCGGCTATGATCGGCTGCAGTGTTGCTGTACGTCCCGGACCGGCTGCTCCCGGAGCTCAGGACGCTCGTGAGTCCATCTCTGAAGACGTGGCTCTCCTACAACATTCAAAAGGCAAGGCCTTCGGAGGAGACACGACTGAGGCAGAGGAGTCAAGCTTGACTTATGCTGTGCGTGGCATCCCGCCGGTGCCGCAGTGTCCAAAATCACATGATTGCCCTTTCCGTGACTTCCAGTGCACGAGATCCGACGCGCAGCGGGTTGCAGTGCAGCAGGAGCCTGCATGTTCTTTGTCGAAGCTGGCTCAAAATCCTTCTACGACAATGTTTGCCATACAGAGGGGTGATGGGGCAGGTACTCGCATCGGACAAACCGTGCTGAGCTTGGCATATGCATCCCAGAACAACATGAATTTCGGTGGATTTTTCTTGGATCCCAGCCAAAAGGACATCGTTCACGGAGATGACCAACCACGAGCCATGAGTGCCTTCCTCGGCTGCAACTATTCGGACATGCTGGTTCACACAAAGAGACCTCATTTCGATCAGTGCTGGAATGGCAAAGATACACTTGCTAGTGGACTTGACGGCCAGGAGATCCTTCTTCTAGAATGCAGTGGTATGGAGTGCCGACGAGACCAGGCGATTCTTACCTTGCCGTTTCTGGCAGAGCTACGGAAGTCCACCGCACTTCTGAGGCATGCAACACCTTACTTCACCGGGAAGGGTATGAAGGTCGTCATTCATATCCGTCGAGGAGATCGACTCCCAAAGGGCTCCCTGGATAGCGCTAGGAACGTGAACGGCCAGCACTACGCCTCGGACGCCTTATACCTCAATTTCTTGAGAAGGTTCCTCCAGGGCATACAGAATGCCGAGCTTCATGTCATCAGCACAACGGAGGGTGGCTTCGCAAGCGAAAATTTCGATGTCTACAGAAACCTGGGCGTGCACGTTCACCTGGATGGTGACATTATTGACGATTGGGCTCACATGGCGCAGGCCGATCTCCTTCTCATCGCTCCCAGTACCTATTCGTGGGTGGCTGGCCTGCTGAACGAGACTTTGTCATAGTTTGGTAACATTTTACATGTTGATGGCTACTTAAACCCAATAAGGAATTGAAGCTATTTTTTATACTATCCCAACCATGAACAGGAGAAGTGTGTTGCCATTTTCAATCTTTTTCCGCTCCCCATCGTGTTGGACTGGATAGAGCTCAGCGAGGACTTGCGCGAGTTCAAGGACATTGAGACCTGCCTTTCAAAGAAAGGACTCCAAAGCTAGATGGACAGGATCAAAAACAGAAAAGGTTGTACTGCATGGGGTGATCGGGTGTGTGGTTTCATTTGCTGGGGACTTGTCATCATTTGGCTCGCCTGGGTTATCCGACGGTCAGCGCCGAAACTCTCACGCGCCCTACCCTGAGTCCTAAACTAAACCCTAAACCCTAAACTTGTATGTGAGCGTAAACCCTAAACCCTAAACCCTAAACTTGTATTTGAGCGCGGACACTCGAAGCTCGTATGGAACTCTGAAGCCTCCCAGCATGCAGGTCTTTGGCGCCCTGCCGCTGGGCTGCTGGTGGCAGCCCGGGCACAACAGCTGCCCGCCGACGTGACTTGCCTTGGCTTCAAAGGGACCCTTGTCAGGGAGTCCTTACAGGGACCCTTAAAGGGAGCCTTTTAAGAGAGTCCTTTAAGGAACCCTTTATAAAGGGACCCTTGAAGGAACGGGGTTTTGCTGCAGCGTGGGACTGGAAGAGCCGATAAGCCCCAAATTGAACCGACACACTGAGCCCTAAACGGTTCACTCAAAGTGATTAGGGATTTAGGGGTCTAAACTAAAAGAGGATTTTATATGTAGGATTCAGGATTTAGGCTGTAGGGCTTTGAAGCTTCGGGGTTTGGGGTGTTGCGGGTTTAGGGTTTCCCTACATCTTGCAGAAAAAGAAATCGAGGCCCAGCATGGAAAATCGAACCTTCAAACTCGAACCCCACAGCGTCCACGACGATTTAGGGTTTAGGGTTTAAACCCTAAGCCCTAAGCCCTAAGATCCAGGGTGGAGCAAAGCTGCCGTAGAATGCCAGCTCTGAGAACTCCCAAAAAGGAACTACTATTTAGCCTATGGGTAGTGCTGGCAGCTTGTTGACGCATGACTGGCGCTTCAGCTAAAAGGAGACCCTTGATCCTGCAGGGCCGTCACACAAACCCCAAACCCTAAACCCCGAACCCTGAACCCCAAAGCAAATCCTAAGAAGGCGCGGTTGGGGCTTTCTGAGTAGGTCGTGAGCTACACGGCGACTCTCAGCGCTTTCGAGAAGGGCAGCCTATGGAAGGAAGCACTGGAGGCTCAGGGGGTGATTTTGTTCTAAGAGGTTCCAAAAAGGGGTCCGGTAAAGGGTTTCAAGGTTGTCGTAACAGTTCCTCACAGGATTCCTATAATTATCATAAGGGTTCCTTTGAAGGGGTTTGGGGTGATGGTGTTCGGCGGAGCTCTGCTGGGGCCAATGCCACACTAGAGTGCCACCAGCTTGCTTGGAGATGTTCTCATCGCAGAGCTATGCCACCGGAGAAGCGAGGGCCTCATGTCCAGCAACCCCCAAACCCTAAACCCCAAACCCCAAAACCCTAAAACCCTGAACCCTAAAACCCTAGGTCTTTGCTGAAGGTTCAAACCCAGAGAACCCAATACCCCTTAGTTAAGGAACATACCTTAAATTATAGGGGCCTTAATATTATGATTTACGGCTATATTCCTTAGTTAAGGGGTATTGGGTTTTCTGGGAAGGTCACACCACCCTAAACCCTAAACCCTATTTATAAAACCAGTCAAACGTTGAGCAACGAGAAACTCCGACATCCAGGTAGTCTCGGAAGCCAGGAGGATCCAGTCTCTTGTACCTGGCTATCTAGCTGAGGTTCTCCTACCCATAGGCTCCTTAGTAGTTCCTTTTTGGGATTACCTTATAGGATTCTATATATATATATATAAACCACAAAAAGGAACTCCTTAGGAGCCTATGGGTAAATAAGGATTTAGGGTTTAGGGTCTACTGCGGCTCTCCAAATTCGGACAAGGTCCCTGACCAGGAGCCCCTTTCGACAACCGGGGGATCCGCAGAAAGACTCCCAAAAGGCGCCTCCAATGAAAAGGGTTTAGGGTCATAGGGCTCATAGGGTTTAGGGTGTATAGGTTTTAGGGTGTATAGGGTTTGGGGTTTAGGGTTTAGGGCGGTTTAGGGTTTAGGGTGTATAGGGTTTGGGGTTTAGGGGGGTTACGGTATCCCTAAGGGTCCACGCGTCCAAAGAGTATAGAGAAAACCTCAAAAAGTTGGAAACCGGCCTAAGGACAAATAGTGCTGGGATTCCCTAGACATTACTCTGAAGGATTGAGGCTGTTGGGTTTCCAACTGCTGGGCTTCTATTATATACTTTGGCCCTCAGCAGTATCTGTATAGGGCAGACTTTAGGGCCAAGTACATACTGTTTAGGCACACGGACCCTTATAGGGTATCTCAGCTGCCTGATTTCTGCGAGACCCTACTTGGAACCTGTGAAACCTACCCTTCTAGGCTTCATTATCTGATTTCCTTACATCAATCCTCAAGGTAGGGATTTTCAGGGTCCAGGTGTATAGGCTCCATTGTGGTTCCTTTTTGGGATTACCTTATGGGATCCTAAGTATATAAACCACGGATAGGTACTATAATGGAGCCTACATAGGTAGACCCTATAAGCAAAGGGCCATAGATCTGCAGGTCTTCCGCGGCCTTCCGGAACAGGGTCTGGAGGTGACGCACGTAAGCATCAACAGCTCCTTGGACCTGGTCTAAGCGAGTTTAGGGTTCTGATACGGGGCTCTGCGATAGAAGCGCCTTTAGAAGTTCTAATTATGATTTTTGGGATTAAACACCACGGGTCCGGTGTGTTTCAATTCCTAAACCCGTCCCAGGGGGGCTTCACGAGGTGTTGGGCATCTCCCAGGTGAAGCAGATTGTAGAGAGTCATAGCGGTTCTGCCGCGATGACTTGCCGAATCAGCTTTCACATGGTATGAGTATAAGTTTTTTGTCACCTTCTTCTTCAATCGCAGGGTCTTAGCTCTAGAACTGATCTTGTATCGCTCCTGCCATGTATATAATGTACTTATCCCTAGACCCATCGGACCCCGACAAGAATTGATGAAAAGGCTGTAGGGTTCAGATCCGCCCGAGCTTTTCTGGGATGCCTAGGACTAGTTTGGAATTTAGGTCTTGAAGGGTTCCGAGAAAACCAAAACTTCGTTTGTGTATTAATTCGACTTTAGAGCCTACTTTAGGGTATTCGGTTCAGGGTTTCCTGTGTGATCTGGGGGAATTGAGACGAGATGCTTGGTCTTAATTGCTCGTAGTGCTAGTAAGATGTGTTACAGTAGAATAAGGCAGTCTTTGAGAGAGGTGCTACTGCCAGTCGTTGTAACATGCTGTTGGGATTGTTGAAGTCGCTGTGACGTAGCAGAAGATCAGCGTGCGCTTAAGCGTCGCGTGTGAAGTTTTGATCTGCAGCCACAACGGTTTAGGTGTTTGTGGTTTGGGAGTCTAGTGTTTAGGGTTTGGCTTAGGGCCTACATAGATCTATATATACAAGGCTCCCTCGGTCCTTCTACTTGGAGCCCAAAAACCGTAAAACCAGTGGCCAGAGGCGAGACTTCGGTTGCTTGGAGCTTCAAGCGACATCTGGCCCCAGTGTGTGCCATCATGTTCCATGCAGTAAATTCCATCAGACACCTGGCCGAGCTACTCTCTTCTCACATGTCCTGCTATTTCAGAACCAGCAGGTTGTCTGGATCTCCTCCAACACACGGGCTCTCCCAAGCCAGAGAAACTGCACCCTGAACCTGTCAAAGCCAAGGCGCGTTGAGTGCGGTCACTCGAGCCGGCCACTGGCTCGACGCTTTGCATTTGCTGTCCGTTGCTTCCGACAGCAGGACTTGATGTTAGGCGTGATCACCTGCGAGCCTACGGGCTGATGCCGTACACTTTAGCAAGCTAGGGGAAAGCTTGCTGCTACATCAGGATGCCAGCAATGTGTTATAAGTTTTAGTTGGGTGGTGGTAGCGGTAGTCGTAGTCATAATCCCTTAGTGTGGCATAGCCAGGGCTAGAGTCACAGTCATAGAGGCAGTCATAGTGATAGTCATAGTGATAGTGATAGGTGCCGTGATAGTCATAGTCATAATCAGAGACATAGTAACACGAGCTCTAATATTAGTATCTGTACAATGTGGGCCCCCTAGTTATAAGTTAGTTATCGAAGATATATCTTAGTCATAAGTTAGTTAAGGAAGTTATCGAATTTGGCTTGAAAAAGTATATCAAAACCAGACAGGGCATGTTAGGTGGAAAAAGTATATAATTAAGGCAAATGTATAGATGAGCATATATTTCCATATAATTTTGCCATTTTTCATATACACATGCATGAAAAATATACGTATACGATATATGCATGTTTTGATTTCATTGTTGGTGAAGATGGCACCGAAGAGGGTCTTGCAACCCTGAAACATAAATCCTAAATCTAAACCCTGAAACTCTAAACTCGAAAGCTCGAAACCTTTCAGTGAAGCCTCAACCCAAACTTTGAACCCTGAAATCCCAATACCTAAGCTTGTAGCTATAGAAAAACCCTTGTAGTTTTGTTGTGGGTCCCATGTGGTCGCGTTGCGGTCCGCTGGCTGCGTTTTTATTGTGGTCCGGTCCTGTTTTTGTGGTCCCCTTGTGGGTCGCTTGTGGTCCGGATTCTTTTTCTCTTGTGGTCTTGTGTGGGTCGCTTGTGGGTCGGCTGTGTCCCGACTCTTTGGTTATTCAGGCCCCAGCTTTGGCTCCAAGGCTTCTAGAGGTTGCCCTTTGAGCTGCGCTGTCTACGTGTGGCATGACCGCCGAAGCAGAAACCCAGCTTGATATACTGATTCTATAAACGAAAAGTCGATACATCATGTGTAAAAATGAAACTTATTATAAACAAAATGCTACAACAAATGTACTCAACGCCCTATATTGCTGTGGAACAAACCTGCTTTCCTCCACATTCCCACAAAAACTTGAGAAACCCTGTCGTTTGCCCTAGGTTCCTAGCATTTGCATAATCGTATTTAAAAAACAATACCATTACTTAATCGCGAAACACTATAAAATAATGCATTTAGAAGTTGTCGAAGTTAGCTAACTGGCATAGCTAAGTTATAACTGTTACCGGCAGTTAGAGAAGTTAAGGCATTTATAACTCCAATAACAAAGGTTATAAA